CGAGATAACGAGTGCGATTGGGCGGAGCGCGTTCGTCTGTGGGAATTATGGGGCATGTAGATGAGTCAGGAAATGTGGAAAGTAAGGGTTAATATGACAAACTGACCGAATTATGCGATATCCTGGGGAGGGCATGTGGGCCACATACCACCCAGAGAACATAACGTCCTGCGAGATAACGAGTGCGATTGGCGGAGCGCGTTCGTCGGTGGGGTTATGTGGCATGGAGACGAGTCAGGAAATGTATAAAGTAAGAGGTAATATGACGAACTGACTGACTTATGCAATATTCTAGGGAGGCCATGTGGGCCACATATCCCCCAGAGAAAATAACGTCCTGCAAGATAACGAGTGGAATCGGCGGAGCGCGTTCGTCGGTGTGGTTATGGGGCCTGTAGACGAGTCAAAACATGTAGAAAGTAAGAGGTAATATGACGAACTGACCGAATTATGCGGTATTCTGGGGAGGGCATGTGGGCCACATACACCTCCAGTGAGAATGGAGTCCTGCGAAATAACGAGGTAGATTGGTCACGGTAGGTTTTCGGTGACGTTATGAGACATGTAGAAGAGTCAGAATATGTAAAAAGTAGGAGCCTATACAGGAAACAGACCGAGTTATGCGATAAGCCAGGGGGAGTGGCATGTGTGCCACATACACCCCAGGCAGAATGGCGTCCTGCGAGATAACGAGGGATGCTGGTGGCAGTCGTTTTTCGGTGACGTTATTAGACATGTATAGTAGTCATAATATGTAAAAAGTAAGATTTTATACCATGAACTCACCGATTTACGCGATCATCAAGGGTGCAGCCACTTACCGAGATGTTTTGACCGAACAGCCATGATGGCGTGGACATTTGAGCCCATATCTTTCACAGAGATTGGAGCCTGTGATTCTACCTTTAAGTTGAGCCCGCTACGACCCGAATCGACGCCAAAACGATTGAATGCGAAACGAGTTTAGGCAGGGGTAATGGGTGGCCACTCACCGGCAAAGGTCCCCTGAATCTCTACGATGGCGCGGATGTCTAGATGCAAACCTTTGGCGGCGATTAAAGCCTATCATTGCACCGTTGATTCGAGCCCACTACCATTCGAATCGAGACAGAACTGATGAAACGCGAGACAATTTTCCGTCAGGGAGTATTGGGTGGGGGCCACTCACCGGGAGGACTCACGCAATCGCCTGGACGGCATGGGCGATTCGACCCAAACCTTTAACGCGGATGGTAGTGCAGTGCCATACCTTGAATTCGAGCCCGCTACTAATCAAATCGACGCGGAATTGGTTAAATGCGAAGTCATTTTCGGATGGGGAGTAATTGAGAGATGACTTACCCCAGGAATCCTCGTCGTTCTCGACGATGACTCCGCCAGTCGACTTTGTACCAATGTGTGACGGATAGCACACATTTCTCCCGTCATTTCGAGCCCGTAACATCGAGATTTGAACCGATATTGAAGAAGTTATGAGTGATTTTCTGTGAGGGAAATAACTGAGGGGTAACTCACCGGCTACAATCTCGTCTAGCTTGGTCAATGCACCATGGTTTCGCCCCAAACTTTCGAGGTGGTAGGCTATTCGGATCTCTGCCGCTCTATCGATCCCTGGATTGAAATGATTGAGCAAGAACTGAGCAAACACGAGACAATATTGAAGGAGGGAGGGCTGGTGGGGATGACATACTAAGGTAAAAAACTTCGTTCTCGACCAATTCTCGGCCGTTTTGCTTCAAACCTGGATGGCGCTGCGTAGTACCAGTGCATCCACGTCAGATAAAGCCGACAACAATGGAAATCGAGCGGGTATTGAGCCAATGCGAACAAATATTCGAAGGAGGGTTGAGGGACAAAACTTACCGAACCAAAACCGCTCTATCTCCCTCATTACAGGGTCGATTCACATCAAACCTTGTCAGCTGCAGGTATAACTAGCCGTTCCCGTCCGTTTGAGCCCATATAAAGCCAAATCGAACCGCAAATGAGCAAACGCGAACGAAAACTCGAAGAGGAACATTTTAGGACCATGACTCACCTCGGAGATTGGCATCGATCACGTCCGTTTGCAGCGGTAGTACGCAGGACGGCGAACAGGGATCGATAGCCCATATAAGGGCCGACATTTCGAGCTACTTACCTTGAGAAACGAACCGAGAATAAGCGAGAGCGAACCGAGTCTTGAGGAGGGGGGTGCCGAGCGTGAAACTCACCTCACTGTCCTGCTCGCTATAGACGACGCGTCGGG